ATTGCTGCGAGAGGTGCACATTTCGAACAAAATCTTCATTAAAAAGTTTATAAATAAAATAATTAAAATAATAAATTAAATATATTTTTTTCTTTTTTCGTGATTTCCTGCGAAACAAAGCAAAAAGGAGCATATGTCTATAGGACTTTTTTTCTTAGTTTTTTACTCCTCTACACGCTCCCGAAGTTTTGCCATTTAATTTGGAAACACCCTGTATATATATATATAATACTTATGTATTTATATGCTTTATAATAAAAGTATTATACATATATACATGCCTCGAAAGAGTCACAAAAGCTTCATAATTAGCTACGTCAGCAACGAATCCGCCACTACTCATCGTGTAAATTCATAAATTGGGATATCAATGATGCGGACAGTTTAAACGCCTACAGAAGGTTACCTAATCCCGATATTTACGTAATTGATGAACGCGTCTCGATATACCCATCAGCGTACCACTGCGGAATCTATAGACTCGATTAAAATACTTTCTCGCGTGAGTCATCTCTTTCACGGAAGAGAGGTGCAAATTGTTTTTCCTTTACGGCCACTCGACGTAGGTAACCTCGGCCGTGGTAATCCTTGTGTACACATAATCCGGAACGACGAATAAATACGCAGACATTTCTCAGGTAGGCAGCTTTTATATAACGGGCGATCCGCGAAGGCGCGCATCTGTCTTCCCAGTAATTAGTCGAACCCTCCCCTGTCATTGATGAAGTGGTTACCATCGATTATTACTCTCGGATATCTAGGCGCGCCTACATCGTCGCCGATGAAACAACGTTTCGGAATGACGAAACAAAAGTCGAGAGACCCTCGGAGCTCGAGCCCCAAGAGCTGGGTAGAGGATTAAGCGAAAATAAATAGTCGCGATCCCCCGTGTCTACCGCCGCTATAAATCGCCATGTAACCCAGATGCACCGATCTCCACTCGGATGAATGTACTTACGCAATTTATGCATGCTCGACGCGTGTCGCGTTCGTAGGCGATTCTAGTCGGCGATCGATATCATTCGCATGTTATTAAAGTTACGCCATCCTACGACTTTCAATTGAATGTAAGAGGAACAGACTTTATAATGTGAAAGATGAATTATGTATTGTTTATCGTTAATGAAATAAAAAACAAAACTCAGGAACTTCACGGCGACGTTTCTAATATAATACCCTTTTTTATTAAATACTTATTGTTAGTAACGAATAAAGAATTTCTTTCCAGAAAAACTTTACCTTATTTCCATATTAAATGTCATCGGATATCACGCTTCCGGATTCTTCTTTTTTTCTCAGATAAATACGTATCTTCCGCAACAAATCCGATGTTAAATCGATGATTATTATGGGCCGACATTACTGCCAAAAATCGACGCGATAAGAGGTATCGATAACAAGGTGGGTCCGGGCCTCGTTCGCCTAATGTATTCACTTGTACACGCAGAGCGAAGTATACCGACGCTGTTCGACGAGGTAAATTTATGCAAAGTCTGTCGGAGCGGGTCCACCACGTCGTCGTCGGTAATTATAGGTGGACCCTGCTATATCGTCATTAATAGTGGCTATCGACAGTCCCGTGTTAAATGGCCGCGACGTATCTTAACTTTCCGACATAGTTCACACGATCCGTAAGATCGGCCTTATCTCGTAATGGTGCGATAACGGCACTGATTGTTGCGTTGAACGGTCTACCACCCATGCATGATGCTCGTGTTAAGCGAACCGACGCTTATCTCAGGCAGGCGAAAATGCCTGTTGTCCCGTGAGTAACGCGCCTTTTTACAAACTTTGTGATTTTCTTCGATCAATTATATTCCCCGATTCTTAATTTTATTAACTGGTTTTCAAAAGTCATTAAGAAGAAAATCGATCGTTCAGCCAGAGATATTAATCACTTCAAGCGAAAGTTTTGTATCGTTCGTTAGTGAATAAAATTACTGATTTTATCTTGCATTTTTTATTCGAATCACATTTCGAATCATATTAGTCATGTACAATTAAAATAAAATCATATACAATTGATATTAAAAATATGTAATATTTATAATAATTTAAATAAACAAATAATATTTATTTATTACGAATACTTATCATAAGTAATAAATAAATTTATTATCTTTTTTTATTTATATATATCATTATTCGTTAAGCAAACAGACATTTATATTATTGTATATAAATTATTCAATAAACATGTAGAATTCTAAATGGCAATAATTCATTTAAATTTTACTACCTTAATTTGTCAGAGTTGTGTTGAGATTAATTTTTTTATTACTGTAATTTTGCAATCCGATATTTCAGACCGGATTGCATCAACGCATGACAGTAATCCTAAGTAACTCATTTTCTCTGTCTCTTACGCACAACTTCAAGAAAGACAATAATTCTAGCATTTGCTAATTTAGAGTTAATTAATGCAGAACGTCGGGATGTAACGCTGATTACGTCAACGTTGCTCATTTTTCTCATCT